CCTTGTTGCCCTCCTCTGGACTCTCTCCAGGAGTTCCTCATCCTTCTTGAACCGGGGAGCCCAGAACTGGACCCAGAGCTCCAGGTGGGGTCTCATTGGGGCAGAGCAGAGGGGGAGGAGAACCTCCCTCGCCCTGCTGGCCACGCTCCTCTTGATGCACCCCAGGATGCCCTTGGCCTTCTTGGCACCAAGGGCACCCTGCTGGCTCATGGCCACCTTGTCCCCACCAGGACTTCCCCCCCATGCCAGGCCTGGGGACAGTGTGTCAGGGTGGATGGCTGAGGTTGGAGGGAAGTCCCAACCTGGTCCCAGTCAGCCACTCATGATGAGGCCATCTGGGGACACGGGGACATGAGGCCACGGGGTAGATAGGGGAGCTCAGACCGGGTCCGAGAGGAGACCAGAGCAGAAGAGACCATGCAAACGGAGATGACTCCAGCACGCATCGTGCTGTGGGAAGAAGGGACGGGCTGCGCTCAAGGGAGACGTCTCCAGGGCATCCTCCCACTTCTCCCCACTGACTGCAGAGGGAGCCTGGGCTGACTTGCTCACATGGAGACATCTCTACTCTAGGGACTCAAGGCTTGAGACGAATCCCATGTCCATGAATAATTCATCCTTTTGGAAGCCTGGCTCTGGTTACAGTGGTCTTGGCAGACAAAGGATGGGCTGTGTGGAAAAGCCAGGGAGGGACTTGCTTTCTTCTGCTTTAGCTCTTGGTTTTGGTCCAGGTTCACGGCCAAGGAGGAGTCAAGTTCCAGAACTGGGCCAAGACCTATGGCTCCTCTCCGGAGCTGTACTTCCAGCCCACCTCAGTGGAGGAGATCCGGGAGGTAAGGAGGGTGCTTCCAGGAGGCAACCCGTTAGAAATGAAGAGGAGGAAAGGCCAGGAAGGGCTGTGGTGCTCCATCACATTCGGTCAGAGCCCCAGGAGATGGCCCACCCTACTGAACTGCACATGTGCTCCATCAGACATGTCAAACACCTAAAAGATGCAGAAAACCAGCACGCCTGGCCCCAGTTGGACTCTGCTCCTTGGGCATCAACATCTGGCATCCTTCTGGGGTCCCCTGCCTGCCCCAGCTGCCATGTGGAGGGGTGGGAGTCCTGTGTAACTTTTGTCATCCCCAGAGATGCCTCTGTCACCCTAGGGTGTCTCATGGCCTCTTTTGGCTTCATTGAATCATACAACGGTTTGGGTTGGAAGGAGCCTTTAAAGGTCATCTAGTCCAACCCCTAAGGATAATCCCAAGGGCTGGCTTAGGAGGTGTCTGGCCTCCAGGGTGGTTTTAACCCCAGATGATGAGTTATCCAAGTAAATGGATGTCGACCATGGGTGGGATTTTAGCTTGGGATGTCTCACAGTGCCCTTGGCTTTGAGGGGGGTGTTGGATGCTCAGGGCCGCCTGTTGCCTCTGCAGATCCTGGACATGGCCAGGCAGCGGGACAAGAGGGTGAAGGTGGTGGGGGGCGGCCACTCGCCTTCGGACATTGCCTGCACCGATGACTTCATGATCCAGATGGGGAAGATGAACAGGGTCCTCAAGGTGAGACTGGCTTCTGGGAGGTGATGTGGTGGCCCTGAAACGTGGTGGCACCCCAGTTCATGCGGCCACCAAGGGCTGGGGGGCATTGCGCCAACACTTCCATACCCAAAGTGGGAGGTGAAGGGATGGAGAGGCTTTCCCCTCCTCGCAGGCCAGGAGTTTTCCCAAACCAGACCCTGAACCACTGGTGCAAGGCTGGGAATTGCACGTTTTCCCCTCGTGCATTGGAAGCGTACGGAGCAGCTGTAAAAACACAAAGAGGCGATGCCTTCCCAGCGCACGTTCAGCGAGGGCGGACCCTCGGCACATCATCCTCATCACTGCAGGGTCTGCTGGGCGGGGAGGCGGTACCTGGCAGGATCACCCTTCCTGGCTCCCATGATGCGAGCTTGCCTTAGGCACAGCAGCCTGGCAAAGCCCCGCCTGGAAGGGGAAGGTCCATGGTTTGCTCCTCCGTTAGGTGGGAGATGTCCCCATGGGAGGAGATTGCTCCCTTTGGTGGCACTGGGAAGGAAACAGCTCTTGCTGGTTGCTTCTGGATCATAACCCAAACAACTCCGGGAAAATGGGAGCCGCTGAGAGGGAGCTGGGAAGGGTGATCCTGCCAGGTACCCCCTCCCCACCCATCCAGGGCTGGATCCTTACTGGTAATTAACAGCGGTAGTTAATTAAGGAAGGGGTCCCTCCCTGGCAGCTCCGTCTATCAGGAGTGGGATGAACAGCACCCAACGGCCATGAGCTCTCCTTCCACCCAGCGCTGGCGGAAGCTGGCAGAGGAAGGCAGGGGGGCAGAGCGGAGAGGTTGGCTGAAGGTGGAGCTTTGCTGGGGGTTGTCCTCTCCCTCGCATTGACCAACACCTCAGGGATGTTCTGGGAGAGGTTACACACCCCTGAGCCTGGGGAGAGCCAAGGGGAGCCGGGGCTGGACAAGGGACAGGAACCAGTGGCACCATTGGGCTGGCTGAGGTTGGGCTGGGTGAAGGTCTGGGAGAGGCAGCAGCTCAGGATGGAGCAAGGCCCTCGTGGTCCATGGCTCTCCCGTACAGACGTTATCAACTGCACTGGTAAGAGCAGAGGTGTTTTCTGTGGAGTGACCTCCTCCAAGCTGGGTGACCTTCCCCTCTCCCATCCCATCCTTTGCAGGTGGACAAGGAGAAGCAGCAAGTGACGGTGGAAGGCGGGATTTTCCTCTCGGATCTGAACGTCGAGCTGAGCAAGCACGGGCTGGCACTGGCCAAGTGAGTGGGACACGTACATGGGGCCGTCCCTGGGTGTCCTTGCCCCAGGGCAAGTGCTGGGACATGGCAAAACAGTGATGTTTGAAGAGCTTTTTCTGCAAGATAGGGGTGTTTACTTCAGGGTCTGGTCTTCCACCAGGGTCCTGCAGACCACAGGTCAACCCCCACCACGATGGAGTAGCTGGTCCTGCCTCAGAGCAGGAAGTTGGACAAGGGCAGCCTTTATCCCCATACCAACCCTGCACCCACCAGGCTGGTCCTTTCCATGTCATGAAAGAAAACTCTGCGTTCCCTGGCCCTAAAAAGATGGAAGCACCCCTCCTGGGGATGTCTTGCATGGGGTGGAGGCTGACAGGAGGCAGCTCCGGGCAAGGGAGGCTGATGGTAGACAAAATTAGGCTAGAAATTAGTTTTTGATTGTGAAGGGCAATTAGCCGTTGGAATGTCTTAGCAGGAGGCATGGGAGAGTCTTCGCTCTGCATTGCTTTGGGGCATCTGATGTCCCCAGAAGAGGAGGTAGAAGTGGTGGGCTGGGTGTCCAGGGCAATCCTGGGGGAGAGGATGGGATGCACTCAGGTCCTCACCCAGCTCCTTCATCTGCCCCCAGCTTAGGAGCCGTTTCTGAGGTGGCAGCGGCCGGTGTGATCGGGACAGGGACACACAACACGGGGATCAAGCATGGCATCCTCCCCACCCAGGTGAGACATGGGTCAGGAGCGCAGCGATGCACCAACATCAGCATCTTGAGGGCTTTGGGGGAGATGATGTCCCATCACCTGGCCTGGGCCTGGTGTGCCCAGCCTAGGGGTAAGGAAGGGGCACACTGTGCCCAGCAAGCAGGAGGGGTCCTGCCCCCACCGGGATGGGGCTGCTATGGGGGACCCCACATCCCCCATGCACACTGGGAATCGGAGAATGATGGAATGGAAGGGCGGTTTGGTTGGGAAGGGAGTGTTCCAGCTCACCCAGCCCCAACCCTTGCCATCAGCAGGGACATGTCCAACCAGATCCGATTGCTCCCAGGCCCGTCCAACCTGACCTGGAATGTTCCCAGGGATGGGGCAGCCACCACCGCTCTGGGCAACCTGGGCCAGGGTCTCACCACCCTCAGCACAAATAATTTCATCCTTAAGACCTTCTCATCTGCCAGCCAAAACATGATCCAGCCTGAAACTCCTTTGTCCCTCTGCTTTATGGTCTTATAATCCAACGAATAAGCTCTACGCTGAAGGGGAAGGAGTTTTTCCTGCATTGGAGCCCCCCAACCCCAAATCTCTGCAGATCTGATGACTAGACCGTCATGAGAACCCTCCACTCCTAGCTCAAATCCCATACAGTGATTGCACCAATAGTTATGCAGTAGTGAAGTCTTTTGGGGGAGTTTTACTTCTTTATCTCATGGCTTTTCCTAGCATCCCCCCAATCATAGAATCATAGAATGTTTTGGGTGGGAAGGGACCCCTAGAGCCCACCCAGCCCAACCCCCTGCAGGAGCAGGGACACCTTGAACCACATCAGGTTGCTCACAGCCCCGGCCAACCTGGCCTGGAATGTTCCCAGGGATGGGGCCTCCACCCCCTCTCTGGGCAACCCCTGCCAGGGTTTCA